CATACAGTTTATGATCACAACAACAACAACAACCTCTGTCAGGCATCTACATTGTCATCTGAGGAGATTACAAAGATTAAACGAGTGTTTTTTTTAACTCTAAAACATAAAATGTGGAGTTATCTGCTTTTGCCAAAAAACGACTGTTGGAGTTATCTGCTTTTGCTATAAAACTGACTTTTCCAGGTTTTAAGTGCTATAATCAGGTTCCCCGTGCATCTACCAACCAAGGAAACGTGAAAAAGATTAACCCAGTAACTTTGTTTTAGTAAGCCTTTTCTGCAAGCGTCTGAGAAAACCAGCAAGTCTGATTTCGCTCCCTTGGTGACGTGGCAAAGGGATCTCATTATAATATTACCGCCCCTTAATCTGTAAGTTTCCACCCATGGCGCCGTCATTTTGATTTTGTAAGCGACAACGGTGTACCATTTCTAATGCCATGGCGAATGTTTGAGCAAAACATGCTAACTGTTCAGTCTTTGGCTTCACAGCAGCACGATAAACATGATAATCAGAACCAAAACAGATGTTTTTAGCAGGTCCGAGCTGTAATGGCGCAGCTCTATTCTGGAAAAGGGGGCGGGGAGCAGCAGCTCATTTGCATTTAAAGACACAGGCCCGAAAAACTGTGTTTCTGCTTCCACTCAAAATAGGCATTTTCAAAATGATATAATAAATTATCTGAGGAGTATTTTGAGCTGAAACTTCACAGACACATTCTGGGGACACCAGAGACTTATATTACATATTGTAAAAAGAGGCATAATATGTCTCCTTTAATCAAAACAACCCAACTGCAGTTTGATTGATATTACTTGGAATGCGCAATAAAAAACGTGATTTCTGTTATCGGTTTTTGCAAATGAACTCCTCATTTGTAGAACACAATGACAATTTTATAGTAAAATATGCAGTTATTACACAAGCTAGAATAGGGATGAAATACAAAAAAGAATTGCTTCTTCAGCTGTAGTCTTATGATGTCTCAAAGTTATGATGTCTCAAGTGATCAGGTGAACTTTGGCGACTCGTTAACTTCTGAATTTTGCTCTAATAGATACATGCACTAATGAAATACAACATCAATGTGCACATGGGCAAACATAAAAAAAAAACAATGAACAATGAACAAAAACTAGTCTTGACTATGCTAGACTATTATTTCCTGTTATAAAATACATCCTTCCTGTCAGAAACTGATGAGTGATCTGGAAGAGAAAGAGAAAGAGCTGAATAAACTGAAGGCAAAGGTGGACAACCTCCTGAGGACCCAACACCCAGCATCTGATAAGATACAGGTGAGGAAACATCTTCACGCTCAACTTACAAACTCTGTGAAAACTCTCATTAATGCTCTGGAGGTGAGTAATACCTCAGATCATGAGCTTTTTACAATAATTTACATTGTTGTATTAGGGATCCAAACATGATCTTTTGATGTTTCTTACTTACTTTGGAGCAACCGGTCTATATATACGATGGTTTATAATTTTGTCTGGTTCTTTCAGGCTTATATGGACACACTGCAAACCCAGTGGAGCTGGTTACTGCAGATCACCAAGTGCATCCACGTTCACCTGAAGGAGAATGCTGCTTACAGCCAAGTAAGGGTTTGGTCGTTTGGTGTAGATAAAGGAATCTGTGCTTTAGAATGAAAACAGTTGCTCTTAGCTGAGGGATCTGATGCTATTTCTTGTGGTGATGATGAAATAAATGTACTGTATTGCTCTAAGGAAGAGTAAGCGATTCTCAAAAAGTGTTTTTGAAAATATAATCATTGTCGCAGGTGAAAAGTCTGAAGCTTGGTATTTCAGTATCATTGAGATACTATTTAGTATGATTGAGATACTAGATTTTATTAATATTTTTTAATTGAAAAAAAATGTATTTAAAGTTTTAGTAATTTTGTTATGTTTTTGTCATTCGTTTCATACATATATTAATTTAATTTCATATAAATTATATAAATTATAATATTAATTTTGTTTCAGTGTTAGTTTATTTTAGTACATCAAGTTAAACCAAATTAAAATGAGAAATGTTGCTGGCAACTTGCTGAAATTAAAATGTTTTTATATTTTATTTTATTTCAAGTAATGCATTTTTTATGCTATAATAAGTCATTTTTATGCTAAAAGTGTTCAAATGGATTTAGATATTGCTCAGTTTTGTTCCGAGCAAGAGTAAACAATTCTTAGAAAGCATCAATGAAGATAAGATTGGTTGCCTTTTAAAAAGACAAATGATTGATTTAGTCTTTAAAGGTGCTGCAAATAATGCCTTTTTATTCACACAATATCGTTTGGACTTGGAATATATCATGCACAAGGCGTATGGATTATTTTATGATCCTTATAGTATATGGTGAGCTTGTGTCTGAAACTTGAAAGCCTCAGTCCCCTTTTATTGTAATTGCATGGAAGAGAGCAACCAGTACTTTCTTCAAAATTTCTCTTTTTGTGTTCTATGGAATAAACAAATTCTTATGGGTTTGGACACGAAGGGGAGTAAATGATGACAGAAGTTTTATTTTTGTTATTATTCTTTTGTAGTTCTTCAAGGAGGCCAATGAGACGTACAGCAGACTGCAGAAAGACCACGAGAGCATCCGTAAGAAGTTCACCTGTGACAAGAACACACCTCTGGAGAATCTGACAGAAATGCTCAAAAACCTGGAGGTGCGACAAAATTTAAAAAAATCAAATATGTAGCATATGACGTCCTATAATGTCATTTCTTATGTACGTATGACGTGACTGCACTTTGCAAATCACTGTGTGCGCACAAAATGTTCCCATTCATCTTGTAAATAATTGTGCCTGTATGTGTGTGTAGAAAGAGAAAGACAGGATCATGGAGAGTAAGAGGCAGGTTCAGACGCTGGTCAGCAAGTCCAAGAGCATCGTGTGTCTGAAGCCTCGTAACCCAGAGGAGAAGAGCAGTGGCCCGGTCATCGTCAAAGCCCTGTGTGACTTCAAACAGGACCAGGTCAGTCACTCTCACATACGCACTGATGTCCTCTTTATATTCTTTGTCATATCTGAATGATCTATATATATAGTGAAGGACTTGTTGTGATTTCCCAAGCATGTTAGTTTGAACGTTCAGCTAGGGTTGGAAACTGAGAAATGTCTATTTTCATAATAGATGAATGAAAAGTCTTCCATCGGTGCACAACTAGCTTCACTTTTAAGTTACATAATGTCTTTTAAGTAAAAAAAAACAAACAAACTGTACAGTAATAAATTACAAATATGTGACCGCTCATCAGTAGATTTCTATATTAATGTGCCATTGCAGTGTTGATTTATGATGGCATTATAATCAGCAAAGCTGTCTACTCTAACAGCCACTTTGTTGCAAATCAACATTTTTTTAACTTTAGTAATAAATAGTGCTGTCAAACGATTAATCGCGATTAATCGCATCCGAAATAAAAGTTTTTGTTTACATAATATATGTGTGTGTGTGTGTGTTGTGTATATTTATTATGTATATATAAATACACACACACACAGCATATATTTTGAAAATATTTACACGTATATATTTATATTCATATAATTTATATCATATATAAATATATTTAATATATAAACGCAACATATTTTTCTTAAATATATACATGCATGTGTGTGTATTTATATATACATAATAAATATACACAACACACACACACACACATATATTATGTAAACAAAAACTTTTATTTTGGATGCGATTAATCGCGATTAATCGTTTGACAGCACTAGTAATAAAACGTGACGTATAATTTAAAAGACTTTTCATTACTAAGATTTAATACACTGTAAAATGATTTTCATTTGGCATTGTCAGCAAGTGATTTCTCATCAGGCACCAAACAGAGGACACATACAACACTGTTTTAGTCAATGGAATGACTTAAATTCCATTTAAGTCCATTTAAATGTTGATTTTTTTGCACTGTCTTGGCATTCATTGTGGACAGCAAAGTAAGAATTTCATTGCTCAGGGAAACTTGTTTTCCTCACTGGGCATATGACAATAAACGCTTTGAATCCTTGAATCCTTAAGAAATAGGAGGACAGTTGAAGAGACACATCTGTTATTAAACATGATCGTCAGTCCCAAACGCTGACTTTGTTAAAGGGACAGTTCACCCAAAAAATTAACTCACCCTCACGTTGTTCCAAACCCTTAAGACTTTGGTTCATCTTCATAACGCAAATTAAGATATTTTTATTGAAACCTGAGAGTTTCTGTTCCTCCATTGAAAGTTCAGGTAACCAAAATTAAGAAGATCCAAAAAGGTCATAAAGGAGTTGTTAATATGAAACAAATTATTTAATGCGAGTCATGCGAATAGACAGTCGCTTTTTATTATATAAATAAAAGCCTAAATTAAATTTATTAATTTGAACAGTGATCAACCCTAGGGTTGCAAAGGGGTGGAACATTTTCGGAAACTTTCCAAAAATCCCTGGAATATTCCAAAAAATCCAGGAATGTTTTCGAAATTTCTGGAATGTTTTCGAAATTTACTGGAATTTTTTCCCCCTTTTTGCAACCATAATCGACACACATAGAGCACATCACAATGGTAAATGAGCTTCTGTGTTTTCCATATGTGATGAGCTCCATGTATGTGTGCTTAAAAGCCTAAATTAAATATGTTTATCATGTAAAGCGATCATATCTCTTCGTAAGACTTGTATAAAGCCCCTCGATTCCTTTTTTAAGATGCCTTTATAACCTTTTTGGATCTTCTATGTTTTGGTTACCTGGACTTTCAATGGAGGGACTGAAACCTCTCAGACTTAATTTGTTTCGAGGATTAACTAAAGTCTAATGGATTTGAAATGACACGAGTGTGAGTAAATAATAACAGTATTTTCATTTTTGGGTGAACTATCCCTTTAACATAGCCATTGATTTAATATCAATGTGGTTGTTGCTACCTCAGTTTTTAGGGAGTAAATGTGCTTCTAGACGATGTTTGAAAGTTTGTGATTTTACCACTTCTCATGTTGGGATGAATCTCTTTGTTATATTGCTCATTTGTAAATGAAGAAATGTAAATGCATTTCTCTCTCTTGTAATTTACCAAACTCCCTTAAGCACAAAGGTTAATTGTTTCAGGTGTAATTTAAAGCTAGAACTACATTCTCCAGAAGCAGGATGTAAACATACAGTGCATGTATTTCTGCAAAACGGTATGAAACACTGAAACGCAGTTTGGTTGTTACAGAAGGGCATTCTGAAAGGGAATGAAGGAATCCTGAAAGACAACTCTCAGCGCAGTAAGTGGCACGTGACTGGACCTGGAGGACTGGAAATGCTCATCCCATCAGTATGTCTGTTCATCCCACCACCAAACCCTCTGAGCATCGGTCTGGCACACAAGTACGACAAAAACACACATGCACACAGATCCTAGAGCAGCCGGTAGTGTCATAGTAAAGACATGCACTGATTAACTGACTGCTTGACAGGAACGAGCAGTACTATGAAGCCATCATGTCCATCTGGAGTCAGCTGTACATCAACATCAAGAGTCTGATCTCCTGGCAGTACTGCATGAAGGACATCCAATACATCAACTCCCTCACACTCTCAATGGTATGAATTGATTGGATCAACCTTTTACTCAATGCCTAATATGCTTTTTGACTTAGAATTACTTAAAAAGTCTCCATCTCTTAGATCATTCTTTGCTTCTCGTTCCCTGTCTGTTTTAGCTCTCACAAATGCGTCCTGAAGAGTATCGCAACATTATTAAGAACCTGGAGCTCCACTACCAGGAGTTCATGCGGAACTGTCTCGGCTCTGAGATGTTTAGCGATGAAGTAAAGAGAAAGATGGAGATGCAGTACGCAGGAGCTCAGTCCCATTATGACCGGCTGGTGATCCAGCTGCCCAACTATAGTAAGACACGCGAACACCGCATCCAGTCACATCATATTATAATCAATACACATGAATGTAGTGTTACAAGTCATCTTGGCATGGAATATCAAGCCAGCGTTGCAGAGATTCAGATTCATTAATCCACAGATTGGGTCTGTAGAAGAGTTCATCTCTGATTTACCATCAAAATATGATTAGAAAAAATAATGCAGAGTCTTTGAAACAACTAAAATGGTCAATTCATTGATTCCCTATTTTCTATACAAATGTCAGTCTCCTGAAATAATCTTTTCACTTAATTCACAAATTAACAAGTGACATAATTTATTACTTCATGCCTACATCTGCCTGAATCTGCAAACTGAAGCTGGATGCATGGAAATGAACCCATCTACAGTTCATAACACTCAGTGTTAAACTTCACTGAAATTTAGCAGACCTTTGGATCACACATCTGTCTTTTTTCTTAGTTCAGGCCAGGGTTATTATAATTAACAAAAACTGAAAGTAAAATTAAAACCATAAAAAAAAAACATTCATTACTGAAATAACATGAAAAAAAAAAGTATAAAGATATACAGGTGCATCTCAATAAATTAGAATGTCGTGGAAAAGTTCATTTGTTGAATTACTGAAATAAATGAACTTTTCCACAACATTCTAATTTATTGAGATGCACCTGTATATATATAAACTACTAAAAATGACAAAAACACACAACAAAATGAATAAAACATGAACTAAAATGAAATGGAATATATATATAAAAAAATAAATAAACATAATATAAAAATTATAATTATAAAAAATACAAAATATGATATAGATTCAAAATATTAATAAAAACTATAATAGTATCTCAGTGATACTAGAATAACAGTGGCGCAGGTACTAAAACTATTGATGTACTTTTAAACAAGAATTAAAATAGAGACCGGACATATTTCCGTATGAAGTGCCACTGTTCTGCTGTTTAGCTCCATTTATAAACACTTGACAATTACAGGAAGGATGTTTGATTAGAGATTAAGGTTTAAAGCTGTCCATGCCTGCTTTAGGATAGCATTCCTTCATTTACTGTTTTACAGAAGAACCAACCTAACTATTGTGTCTTTGTTTTGTTTGTCTTCTAGGGGAGAGTGCGAACATAAGAACAGAAGTGAGGAGGGAGGAGACAGATGGGAAGCTGGTGGTGACCAATGGGAAGCTGGTGAGCTCAGGGCTGAATGTGAGCTCAGGGCTGAATGTGAGTTTCATGTCAGATCTGAGTGCTCTCAGACGCAGGGTGGAGGCGGCGGAGACGGGCTTGATCCAGCACCTCCACGTGCCTCTGAAGGAGAACGGCGTACAGGAGTGCTCCCAAAGACTCGTGCTGCTGCAGGTACAATCAAACACATGGCACTGCCAATGGCATTAGTCTGTTAGAACAACTAGTGATGTATTGCCGATATATCAGATTTCTGCATTGCTTACTCATAAACACAGTCGGACTAAAATGAAAAGTCTCTCATCATTTACTCACCCTCAAAATATTTCAAATCTGTGTTAGTTTCTTTCTTTTGCTAAACACAAAAGAAGATATTTTGAATAATGTGGGTTACCGAGCAGTTGACGGTAGCCATTGACTTCAGTGGTATGGAAAAAAATACTATGGAAGTCAATGGCTACCGTCAGCTGTTTGGTGTCCAACATTCTTCAAAATATCTTCTTTTGTGTTTAACAGAAGAAAGAAACTCGTACAGGTTTAGAACAACTTGAGGGTGCGTAAATGATGACAGAATTTACATTTTTTACAAAATTCAAACCCCATGTTTTACATGGCGATAAAAGGAAACTGCAGCATATTCAGGGGCTGGTCTGTGATTTATCCCACCATCCACGGCCGAATTTCCTACAGTTTTTTTTTTTGTTGACAAACTCCAAGGTCATGTAGCAATTTAATTGGTTTACAAGAAGGTATCAGTTGAAAAATCATTTGTAAATCATTTTTGGCCACTACCACTTTATATAGCGACTAAACACTGAATTTCAAAAAGTTTGTCTTCACAAATATCCAGCATTTAGATGCTCATGTGAAGTGAATTACAAGGGCTAGAAACATTGAAAAATATTAAAGAGTTTTGTTTGAGGCTCTTAGTTTAACGTAAAAGTCATTAACATTGAAAAGATGTTTTCACATGTTTACCTACGAGACATGGGTAGAGTATCTTTTTCCTTTTGACACTTTGCCAAAATATACTTCTAGAATAAAAAATCTGAATATAGTACAGAATAATAGTGTGGAAAACATTGACCTGGAGAGTGAGAATAATAGAAAGAAAATGTGTTTTCAACACTTTTTGAGGGAGGATTATTATGGCAGCTTTGATGGATTGTATATTATATTAAAGTGCAGTTTTTTATAGCAGTCTATTAATAGTGGTAGTGTTTTTGGTTTTGCCGAATCAAGGGGACTGTGATTAAATACAGTTTTCGTTTTCACCCCATCTTGACAATCTCTTGATACATATGTGACCCTGGAGCACAAAAGCAGTCTTAAGTCGCTGGGGTATATTTGTAGCAATAGCCAACAATACATTGTATGGGTCAAAATTATTGATTTTTCTTTTATGCCAAAAATCATTAGGATTTTAAGTAAAGATCATGTTCCATGAAGATATTTTGTAAATTTCCTACAGTAAATATACCAAAACTTAATTTTAGATTAGTAATATGCATTGCTAAGAACTTCATTTGGCGATTTTCTCAATATTTAGATTTTTTTGCACCCTCAGATTCCAGATTTTCAAATAGTTGTATCTCGGCCAAATATTGTCCGATCCTAACAAACCATACATCAATGGAAAGATTATTTATTCAGCTTTCAGATGATGTATACATCTCAATTTCGAAAAATTTACCCTTATGACTGGTTTCGTGGTCCTGGGTCACATATGAGTTTTTAATTTGATCAGTAAATTTGCCTAATGATCTGAATCTGGTCTGTATTTTCAGGGTGTGCATCGTGATCTGGACTCCATCCGGGACGAGTACCTGCGTCTGAGGGAGAAGATTTTGAGAGAGCTGGAAGGAAGCACTAATGCAGAACAGACCCGCTACCTGCGCTCTGAGCTGGACCACATCAACCAGAAACTGGGCAGCCTGCAAGGCATCTCCACTGCATATATCCAGAGGCAAGAACACTTCAAACCACCAATACTGCATTTATTATGTTTTTGATTTTGCTCTCTTCCTAAACCTGCTGAAATGTCTGAAACGAGACACATAAATCACATAGAGTTCAGCATGGTTACTCTTTTATTTTCAACAGTCCACTTTAGTCGTTCTACTAACTATAAGTAACTTTGCGATTTCATGTCAGCTAACTCATTCCTTTGCATCTACATGTCAACTAACTCTCATTAGAGTATTGTTAGACTGTTAGTTTAGGGTTAGGATTAGTAGAAGTTGACGTGTGTTGGGAACCATCAAAATAAAGTGTGAGCAGATATTAAGCAGACAGTTTGTTAATATTCTAATGACTGCTAGTTCACACGTGGTTGCAGAGTTACTTACAGTTATTAGAAAGTCTAAAGTGGAACATCAAAATAACATGTTGTCTTAATGGTGTTATACTCAATATGCCATTACACTCCCATCTTGCTGTACCCAAAATGCATGTTGAAATGGATTAGGTCCAGAAAGCACCAGTATGAACATACAAAAATCTGAGAGTCCATTACTGCTAAAGTGGACAAAATAAGGATTTGAGTTCTCTTTCAGGCACAGGGACAGCATGAACCTAAAGAACTGGGTCTTTTTTCACCAGATTCGCTTTTTTGAACCACTTCAGGGGTCTGATTTTGGTTAAAGTGCCCATAATATGCTCATTTATTTCTGGGGTCTGCTAGAATACTTTTGCATGTTTTAAAGATCAAAAAACATTATTTTTCTCATGTTTAGACATTGCTGCAGCACCTCTTTTCATGTCTCTTTAAAGCCCGCCTTCATGAAAAGGTCTGCTCTGATTGGTCAGCTGGCCCAGTCTGTTGTGATTGGTCAACCAATTAGAGCGTGTCGGAAATATAAAGCAACTTACCATAATTGGGTTTCATCTCCAGAGGCTGTATTAGCAGCTGTAAACAGTATTATATCTATGGTGACTATAGCATTGGTTAGGGTTAGGATTAGCATTGGTAAAGAAGTCAAATGTTTTTTGCCCTTGCAGTGTGAATAAAAACTGCGTTTCCTTGACATATACAATCTAAGAACATATATAAGGAAACATTAAAAAAATGGACTATCTTTCTCATTAACCAATGAATGGCTTACTTATAGTTGTTTGTGTACAGCAAGGTGTGACAGGAGAAGGTATTAGTATGAGAATTCATTAGCAGTGATCTTCTCACAGTGTTTTCATGGGGATTTATTTGTCTGTGTTTCCAGGCTCTCTGCTCTTCAGGCTCTGCTCCAGCACCTCCTGCAGGCTGAGGACATCGTTAAAGTCCATGAGGCTCGTCTGACAGAAAAAGAGACGACTTCTCTTGATCTGAACGAAGTGGAAAAGTACCACATGACTCTCAAGGTGAACTTAATTTTTATTAGTTTAAATATCTGAACTTTTAATATGAACCCTTGTCTTTTTTTAACCAGGTACATAATATGTGTGTGTGTCTGGGTTGTTATAGTTAACTAAAACTAAAACTCAAACTAAAATTAAAACCATTAAAAAATTACTTTACGTATACTGAAATAAAATACAATGTATAAAACTTTTTATTTGAGCTAGTTGCCAAAGCAAAAATTCTCATTTTAATTTAGTTTAACTTGATGTACTAAACTAACTAAAACTAAAACAGATAAAAATTAAATAAAAAAAACAATAGACATTTATTTTTTATTTATTTCTCTTTAAATAACTACTAAAAATGACAAAAACACACAATTATTAAAACTAAAATGAAAACGTAAAAAAAAAACAGATTTAAAATATTAATAAAAACTACAATAATATCTCAGTGATACTAAAATAACACTGGTGTGTGTGTGTAGGTGAGATCATTTTGAGTCATTTCGACCCTGAAGCATATTTTGAGTTTTATGCACTGAATGAAAAATGAACATCTCTAATTTGTGCTCATAGGATTATTGTTTGCAATATACAATAAATGGTGGGTTTCATAAAATAATGTTTTTGAAAAATGCCTCTAAAGATTCTAAACTAGTTTCAGTCATATTAGGAGATTATTCAAGCATACATGAAATAATTAGGTTAAATACAAATATAATACAGTGCAATAAGAAACTATTCAGACCCCTTCATTTTTTTCACATTTGTGACCCTGGACCACAAAACCAGTCATAAGGGTCAATTTTTCAAAATTGAGAGCTGAATAAATAAGCTAAATAAGCCACTTATTATAAATAATAAATAAGCCACTAGATACAACTATTTGAAAATCTGAAATCTGAGGGTGCAAAAAAATCTAAATATTGAGAAAATCATCTTTAAAGTTGTCCAAATGAAGTTCTTAGCAATGCATATTACTGGAACATTATCTTTATGTAATGTCCTAATGATTTCTAGCATAAAAGAAAAATCAATAATTTTGACCCATACAATGTATTTTTGGCTATTGCTACAAATATGCCCCAGCGACTTAACACTGCTTTTGTGCTCCAGGGTCACATTTTATTAAGTTGCAGCCTTAAAGGGACAGCCAGTGTTATAGTCGAGACCAGCTCATTTAAGTCCGAGTCAAGACTAAGACTAGAAGAAAGTTCGAAGAAGTGTCTGACTGTTATTCAGTCAGTGTAAATATGTTTTTCCATATGGGTGAATGAAGCCTGTTTTTGCACCATCGTCACAAAAAAATTCCGATTTTTTTGTCCACAAATGGCTCATTGCGACTTCCAACTCAAAATGATTGAGCGTGTCAGATATATATATTTCTGTTTGATTGTGGTGTCTGGTGCCATGCAGACCATGAAAGCAGAGCTGGAGCAGAAGAAAGGTGTTTTGAAGGCTATGGAGACTGAGCTGTCCAAGGCTGTGCACTGGAACAGTCAAATAGACAAATCTTTCCACCAGTGTGATGTTGACCTGTCCAGATACTCCGAGCTCGTTGGACAGATGACTGACCGCTGGCGCCGAATTGTGACTCAGATTGATAGCAGGTATGGAAAAATAATTTCCACATGCACTTTCGGGATACACAATGACAAGTGCTGTATCATCACCATAATTAACTATATTCAATTTTTCTTGCTTGTTTGTTTGTCAGGGTATGGGACCTGGAGAAACAGGAGAAACAGCTGAATCACTACAAGCAAACCAACTCCATGATAAACAGATGGATTCAGGAAACACGTCAGCGCCAAGATGCCCTCCAGATTACTAAATTCAACAGTCTGGACAGTTTGATGGACCAACTGAACCAGCAAAAAGTCAGTCCAATACACTCCCAATAAAATACTCACATCTGGTCAAATGTTATTAAATCTGATATAAAGTCTAGTGGGGTGCTTGCCTAGACAGATGAAATTATCACATTGACAAGATCATGACAAGATCACCTTTCAAAAGGTATTAATATGTACTTTTAAGGTACTAATATGCACCCTTTAGGGGTAAATAAAGTACAAAGGCGTACCTTTTTCAAAGGTATCACCCCGGTGACAGCTTTTGTACCTTTTTTTCTGATAGCGTGCAACGGAGGCACTTTTCACCAAAGGTATGAAAATATACCGTACAGCCAAACTGACTCCATTACAGTCACCGATTCTAATACCACTTCAGTAAAAGTCTTAAAGTATCTGATTTAACAGTACTTCAGTATTTTACTTTTACTGGACGTAGGCTCAAAGATGCACTAGAGAAATGCCAGTGAAAAGCAAGAAACAGTTGATTTGTGAGGAGAGTAATCACGTTTATTTTCCAAAACTGAACACCTTGATATCGCATTAAATTAAGGTCGACACAGCAGCCACTTAAACGCTTAAAGTCTCAGTTAAGCTCAAGTTCTCAAAACAACATGTAGTGTACATTTTGTAATATGCATTTTTTGTACTTACTTTTCTCATCTGAATTTAAGGAAGCTCTGCTTCTGTTTCTTAACTTGCTTGTAAATGGTATGAAAGAAAAGTAATTTCATATTACTAAGTCGGTTCTCTTTTGCTGTCATGGAGCATCAGACCCTATGACAGTAAGAAGAATTTCCAACAAAGTGTATGTAAAAAAGGCCTTTTGAGCAAGTATCATAGGCTGTCTGCTGCTATGGTTCAGATCTGGTTGCTCTTCTTCGCTCAGTAATGAAATGCAATAATGGAACCGAAACATGTCAGTAGTACAATTTAACTGATACATTCTGATTAAGAAAGTGAATTTTGGATATGGGTAGAGCTTGGATAAAATATTTAATTGAGAAAAATATGTTGTCAATGAAAAGGCGCTGTATTCTGAGATAAAAGGAAAGAAAGAAAAAGTGGATGATGTGGTCAAAGATGCAGACACGTGTGCTGCCTCCATAAAGGTGAGACTCGTATTTCTTTATTTGATCATTACAAGTATATACAAATGATGCAAAAGGCTCAGTTCTCAGATAACTCTTTTCGCAGGACTATGAGCTCCAGCTGGCATCCTACAGTGCAGGACTGGAGACGCTGCTCAACATTCCCATCAAGAGGACTATGCTGCAGTCTCCTTCCACTGAACTGAGGCAGGAGGTAATCATATTACATCCAAGAGGGGAAAAAATTAATTTACATCACAGTTGACATGATTTATATTATTTTGAGTGTATGAGTAAATTTTCTATCTTCACTGACTTATAACTGTTTCACTAAAGGCGGCAGAGTTGCAGTCACACTACATAGAGCTCTTGACACGTTCAAGCGACTACTACAAATTCCTCGGGGAAATGATGAAAAACATGGAGGAGTTAAAGGTAAAAGTTGTGTCTGATGTGTATATAGTTAGCTAAAACTGAAACTAAAATTAAAACCATTAAAAAATATGTTTTATATATATATATATATATATATATATTAAAAAATACACAACAAAATTAATAAAACTTTAACTAAAATTAAAATTAAAAAGGAAAATGTACAAATAAAAATAATTTTTATTTAAAATATGAATAAAAACTATTAATATCTCTAATGATACTAAAATAACACTGTTTATGAGTTTAACAGGCAATAAGGTTGTCTGGGAATAATTTCTTTACATTTTCAAATAAATTTGTTTGAAGACTATAAATGTGATTTATAAGAATGCCAAAAGCAAGACACAAGAATGCTAAGAATACTACAACAATTCCTAACATAGTACCAATTTTGTCACAGTGCTAGTTTCAGTTCACCTTGTTTAGGACACTAAAGATTAGTCACTACATAGTCAAGTTATTATTACGCCAAAAACGGCGTAAAATGGTAAAACTCAACTGTTTAACTCTAGGAGAGTTGGAAAATGAGCCTATTTTCCAAAATAGTGGAGTGTTCCTTTAACAGGTTTAGGATTAAAGCTGAATATTAGGGCTACACTTTATTTTGATGGTCCCCTTTAGAAATTCTGTTGATTATTAGTAACTTTGCAACTACATGTCAACTAACAGTCATTAGAGTATTGGTAGTGTATTAGTAAACTGTTAGGTTCGGATTAAGATTAGCAGAATAAGTTGACATTTACTTGCAAATTGACTTATAGTAAGTAGAATGTGTATTGGGGACCATCAAAATAAAGAGTTAGCAGATATTAAGCAGACTAATACTGTAGACACTAATACTGACACTAATACTGTAATGACTGATAGTTGACATGTATTTGCAAAGTAACTTACTGTATAATCAGCAGAATTTCTAAAGGGGACCATCAAAATAAAGTCTTACCGGTATTAGCAGTGCTGATAGATACCAAGTACAGTACATATAGGAAACAAAAAAGAAAGCACAATGTTCAAAATGCTTTCTTAAATGTGAGGATTTGTTATTCTTGTAAGTTACTACCACTAACTTACACTATTCAATATGTTTTTTTTTTAATTAGATGCGGAACACTAAAATTGACCTTTTGGAGGAAGAACTAAAACGTCTCAAGGACAACCTCAAAGATCAAACTCATAAAAACACGTCAATGGAGGATAGTCTGGCTCGCTATCGGCTGGAGCTGACCCAATCTAAAGAAGAGCTTCTGTCTATGGAGGAGATCAAGAGAACCCAGGCTAGACAATGCAGTACTACTCAGGAAAGCCTGGACAGCACCCAGAATCAGCTGAAGAACTTGCAAGATGAGGTGTCCCGCCTCACCTTTCTCATCGAGGAAGAGAAACGCAAACGCAGGCTGGCTGAGGACCGATACACCACCCAGCAGGAGGAGTATGAGCTCGCTGTCCGCAAGAGACAGAAAGAACTCGAGGAGCTCAGTTTGTCCAAAAGTCAGTTTGAAAGGGCCATCAAAGAAAAAGAGCGGGAGATTGAACGGCTGCAATTACAGCTGCAGGATGAGGCCTCCCGGCGCAATGCAGCAGAATTAGAGACCTCAAAGGTAAGAACACAGTTAAACCAGGACATTAATAGCCTAAAGCATACTTTTGAATCTGAGATCCACATCACCAAGACCAGTGTGCTCAAGGCAACACAGCAGAAGGAGGAGGAATCGACAACTCTAAGGTTTCAGCTGGATAGGTTAAACTCTGAGAAAAGAGACCTGGAAAAGGAACTTAGAAAGCTGCAGCTTTCGTTCTCCCAAGCGGAAGCGGCACGAAGGAAAGCAGAAGAGGACGCTCATCAGCAGAGGTCAACCGAGGGGAGCAGGTTCAAGAAGGAACTGGAGTCACAGATTCAGGTCATATTACGTCAAAAGGAAGAGACTGAAACGAGACACAGAGTGGAACTGACAGAGGCCAACAGAGCTGCTCAGGAAAAGGCCCGTGAGATTACCTTGTTGACCCAGAATCTACAAGACGAGACCAGGCGGAGGAAAGCCTTGGAGGTTGAGAATCAAAGTCTCAGACAGTCTCAGGCTGAACTACTCTCTAAGCACACTTCAACCAGTGAGACCATTAACAAGTTAAAGATCTCTGAGCAAGAGCTTCTCGTTATAAAGAGAGAGATGGCGACACAAAAGAACGAAAAGAGCACATTGGAACAGAATGCCATCAGGCTGCAGAGTCGCATCAGTGAACTGCAGGCAAAGGTGAACGAGTTGCAGGCTGAACTGGAAAAGGAGAAGAGGAGTAATCAGGATGAACTCACAAAGAGGAAAAGGATAGAAACCGAGCTGGAGAGGGTGAATCAGACGTGCCGTGAATACACCACTACCATCAACACTCTGCGGGTCCATCGAGAGCAGGAAAGTGCTTCTGGACGAAGGCATGAGCAGGAGCTTCGCAGTTTGAAAGATGAGTTGGAGAGAAGCCAGAAGGACTACAAAATCACAGTAGAGAATCTGAACAGAGTGAATGCCGAATTGAAGGCTTTGCAACAGCAGCTTCTGCGGGAACAAGCCCTTGTCCGTGAGGCCAATCAACGCAACGATTCCCTCTACAAGACTATAGAAGAGAAGAGTCGATTGCTAAATGAGAGCACCAGTGAGATCGAGAAGTTGCAGAGCCTCACCCAGAATCTCACCAAAGAGCATCTGCGGCTAGAGGAGGAACTGAGGACTGTGCGACTAGAGCGAGATGACGTGAAGAGAAGCCTGAGCACCATCGAGAGTGAAAGTGCTTCCCGATTGGCTGCCATTCAATTCCAGTTACAAACCAGCAATAACAGAGCACTGGAACTGCAGGAACTAATCAATGATCTGACTAAAGAGAGAGAAAATTTAAGGGTGGAAATTGCCCAAATCCAAAAGCAGTTCACGGAGGTATTTTTTTCGACATCAGTTGAATCAAAAATACATCACCAATTTAAGTTATATCAAAATGGCTTTGCTGGATAACACTGCTGCATAATGCTTTACCTTTGAAAGAACACTTTCTGCATAACACTGCACGGTTACACTCTTCCCACAAAAAGCTTTTTTAATACTTGCTTTGGTACAACAAATAATTTTTGTTTTATTCTAACCACGTTCAAATCAATATGGTGTTGGTGTTATAATTCTTTCATTTGTTAAATCCTCTAAATGAATTATAATCTGAAATAGTTTATCAATAAATTATCATTTCTCTTTTATGTTTACAGGCATCCATGATGATCCAGCGATCTGATGCCAACTACAAAGATATTGTGCAAGAGAGAGACAGTGTTCTAGTCAAACTGAAGCTGTTGCAACAAGACAAAGACAAGCAACAGCGCTCTGAAGAAGAGCTCCGGCGCATCAAGCTTTCCTTGGAATCTGAGATCAAACAGAAGCAACGTCTCCAGGACGAAATTGATAAAATTACCAAGGATTTCAAGTACTGGAAAAGCCAATATGAGTTAAAGGAGGGGCAGATCAGACAGAGTGAGGCAGATAGAGACAAAGTACAGAGAGACAGGACCTCTTTGCAGAGTGAGATCCAAAGATTGACTGCAGAGCTGAGGAGTCTGGAAGAACGCTTCAAGAATCGTCTTCAGAGCTCGAACAAGGAGATCTCAGAGCTCACTATGAAGAAGGAGTCTTTGGAAAGGGAATTGAGGATGTTGCAACAGCGTCCAGTTTCATCTTGTCGGTGTACACAAACCAGTCAGTCTGTCTCTGATAGTAGCTGTAAGAAACTGACAGTGAAAGGTCTCCGTGGTGAGGTCTCACTCACAGAGCTTGTAGACTCCAACTTGCTTGATCAGACAGATTTGGATAAAGTAAACCGAGGACAACTAACAGGCAAAGAAATTGAGGACAGACTCAGATCGTACCTAGGCGGCTCTGATTGCATCGCTGGTATCTTCGATGAGGCCAATGGTAGGGTCCTGCCCTTTTACCAGGCCATGAAAGAAGGTCTACTTCGGCGGGGAACCACCCTGGAGCTCCTGGAAGCTCAGGCTTCCTCTGGTTTCATAATCGATCCAGTCAACAATGTCTGCATGACAGTGGAAGAAGCATGGAGGAGAGCCCTTGTGGGAAAGGAGTTTAAAGACAAACTACTGTCTGCTGAGAAGGCTGTGACAGGATACAAAGATCCTGCAACAGGAAAGATCATCTCACTCTTTCAAGCTATTGAAAAAGAGATCATAGAGAAGGGTCATGGGATTAGACTGCTGGAAGCTCAGATAGCCAGTGGTGGCATCATTGATCCTAAAGGGAGTCATCGAATTGATGTGGAAGTGGCTTACAGGAAAGGTTACTTCGACCGTGAAATGAACGATATTTTGACTTACGAGGGTGATGATACCAAAGGTTTCTTTGATCCTAACACCCATGAAAACCTCACATATCTGCAGTTGAAAAAGAGGTGCATCAAAGATCCCAAGACTGGGCTTATCCTTTTGCCTTTGAAGGACAAGAAGACGCCAAAGCAAACAATGTCTCAAAAGAACACACTGCGCAAGAGGAGAGTGGTGATTGTAGACCCTGACACCGGCAAAGAGATGACTGTACGAGAAGCGTACCATCGAGAGTTAATTGATTATGACACGTTCCTAGAGCTTTCGGAACAAGAGTGTGAGTGGGAGGAGATCACTATCGAAACATCTGATGGCAGCAAGCGTTTACTTATTGTCGATCTCAAAACTGGAACCCAGTATGACATTCAAGAGTCCCTAGATAGGGGTGTTATTGATAGGCAAACCCTGGACAAGTACCGTGCCGGGACTCTGACAATCCACGAGTTTGCAGGTCTGATCACAAGTAAAAGCAGTAATTCTGAGCTTTCCATCTGCACCAGCAGTCCTGAGGATGTTGCTTCTTGCAGTAACCCAACACAGATGGCGCCATCATCTCCAACTGTCCGCAAACGTTTTTCTAGCGTATCCATTACGCTCTCCCCTCCATCTGATATTTTTGATGACCAGAGCCCCGTGGGAGCCATTTTTGATACTGAGACCCTTGAGAAGATAACCATCCCTGCGGCGCAGCGGCGTGGAATAGTGGACAACATCACTGCTCAGCGTCTCTTGGAAGCCCAGGTTTGCACAGGAGGGGTTGTCAATCCTGCGACTGGCCAGAGACTCTCTCTGAAAGATGCTGTACAGCAAAGCCTTATCGATGAAGACATGTCCATGAAGCTAAAACCAGCACAGAAGGCTTATGCCGGTTTTGAGGATGTGAAGACCAAGAGGAAACTTTCTGCTGCCGAGGCCATAAAGGAGAAATGGTTGCCTTACGAGGCAGGGCAGAGGTTTCTGGAGTTCCAGTACCTGACGGGTGGACTTGTAGAGCCAGAAACTGGTCGCCGGGTGAGCATTGAGGAGGCCATCCGAAGAGGATGGCTTGATGGCAAAGGGGCACAGAAGCTGCAGGATACGAGGAACTACATTAAGAACCTTACCTGTCCTAAAACCAAACTTAAAATCTCATACAAAGAGGCCATGGATAACTGCATGGTGGAGGAGAACAATGGGATGAAGATGCTCCAGGCTACTTCGATGTCTACCAAAGGCATAAGCAGCCCCTACAACGTGCTCTCGGGACCAAACTCTCGTACAGGATCCAGAGCAGGGTCTCGTACCGGCTCAAGAAGTGGATCACGCAGAGGCAGTGTTGACTACACCTCTTCGGTGTCTTACAGCTACAGCTCATCTTAATAATACAGTTAATTGTAATTACTATGCTTAGTATGTACAATTTACATTTAAAAATTATTTTCTATTCATGAGGATATAAGTATGGGTTTGGGATACAGAATGGAGATGAACTTATTTTACTAACGCTGATCAATTGTCTTGGGTGATTAAGATGTCTTTTAGATTATTAATGTCTTGGATAATTGATTATTTACACATGGGGAATCTTAGATTTATCATGACATTTAACAGTGTTTTAATTCGTGCTTATTTGGTTTATCCGGTATAGGAAATTGTTTTATAATATTTTCCTTTGCATGCTTTATTGACATTTTACATTGCATTTATTCATTTAGCAGACACTTCTGTCCAGAACAACTTACAAATAAGAAATGTAACAAGCAATTAATCACCAGCATTATCCATAGTTTAGAAAGCTAGATTAGGAAACAAGTACTTTTTTATTTGAAACATCTACTGACTTAGTATCAACATGAATCTACTAATTTCAAAGTGAAAATCTGATATTTTTTTGTCAGATTTGCTTTTAATGAATGAATATTTGATCTGATTGTTTATATGGAGCAATTTCAACAATAAAAACCATCAAATTTTTAACTACCATTCTCTCTGTTACTTATTACTACAATAGTCTACATTATTTTTGTATGACACCACATTTGAAATTTCCCCATTACTCTTTAACACATTTTCCATAGGCGTAATTTGCAGGTGTGACAGGTCCGTATCATTTTTTTTGTCAAAGTAAATTATGTCCACAACACTTATTAAAACCACTAAAAAATACAGAAAGCCCATTCAATTACATCGGTTGCAGCTATCCTGCAAGTCACCAGAAAATAAAAAAAGTGGGATTGAAAGCCAAGCTAATTATTATTGGACAAATTTCTAATGAATGCACAGCCACATGACAAAGTGGGCATACATCTGTCATTGCCGATACTGTACATTCAACAATCAGCATCCATGTGCAATTTAACAAAAGCATCAAAAAGGAAACCAGTAAACAACAATGACAAGTCAGATAATTAAAAACTATTAAAAAACAATGTGAAATCTTAGAGATCCCAACAATCGAGATCTCCGCTTCAGTGTCATGAGCACAAAGCGGCTTGCTTCTTGAGCAGATTAATGAGCAGATAAACACCGCAAAAGTTCAAATATGAACATGACATGAAGAAGATTATGACAACAGACATGAATAACAACATTATGAAAGCATGAATAACAAAATGAAACCGCACAGGATTACAAAGCCAGCAAAGGAAGACCATGGAACTATTAAGAATCAATTTCAATTTGTGTGCATCCATAAAATAGTAATCATCTAATTACATGCAATTATTTTAATTATGTATAGCGAGATTATCATGTTTTTGCACCTTTCATCATTAGTTTGCACCTTTAGTTTGTCTGAATCATCCTTACTACTAGGTATGTTGTCAACATATAGGTACAAGATATGTTAAAGGGGACATATGATGCTATTTTAAAGATCATTATTTTGTGTATTTGGTGTAACAGAATATGTTGACATGCTTTAATGTTCAAAAAACACATTATTTTTCAAATACTGTACATTATTGTAGGTCCTCTCTCAAACACGTAGTTTTCAACAAAGCCCCCTCCTTTGACAAGCGCAGTCTGCTCTGATTGGCCAGCTGACCCAGTGCATTGTGATTGGCCGAACACCACAAGCGAGCGTCAGCTTTCAAAGTAAATATCAAGACAGTTAATTAATAAATAAAAACTCCGCATTTGAACAGTCAATAGCAAATACTTGAACTAATAACAAAACATACTTACAGTCGCTGATTCAGAAGCGCCAGATTGTCATAGCAAAGTCGGAATTTACCCCCTTTTTTTTTTTTTTTTTAGAAATAGCCTTTGTGCACAGCCAGCCTTGTACTCTTCTAGGTTAAAAAAACTGTC